ATAGAACAATGAAATTATTCAGGATAGTTGGAGCAAACCTTAATCTGGAATTCCCAAAGGCACCTGTCCCGCGGGGAACAAATTTACTATTTAGAACAGTTAGCAAAACATAGCCCTGTTTGTTCTCTTATTATCATAGTTATTCGATTCAATGGTCCAAAAGTAGCTAATTATGAATCTATGATTCGGGAATTCCCCACAGGCACCTGACCCTTTCGGAATACATGAGTAGAATAATTTGAAACATGGATCTGGGGTTCCCCAAACAGCATCCTTCCCGTGAGGAATAAGTAGAACAGCTTGAACAATTACAGGAACTTGCAAATAAAGTGATGTTGATTTCCTGAGAAGGCACGCGTATTGGAAAAATCCGAATGGCTGGAAAAAAGGGGCGCTATTTGGTCTATTTTGTTAATGTGTCTAATTTGTCAGAATGAGTTTAATGGCTTGAATAGTTAGACACGATGTTTGCGTACTTCCCCCAAAGGCACCTGCCCCCGTGGCACAAACAAGAAACAACAAATAGGGCTACGTGTCTTCGTCTTATTCTATTTATTCTAACTAATTAGAACCACTCCAATACTCACAATGTTTTAAACACATCTGCCATTTCCCAAAGGGCCCCTTCCCCATTCGGGAAAAATAGACTAACACGAATGATTTTACACTTGCCTATGGCAAACATGAATCTTGAATTCCCTAAAAAGGCACCCCGCCCCTTTGAGACTAATTAGTGCAATTGGACAAATCAAAGAAGTAGAATGATTAGAACAGACACTGAATCTGGATTCCCCAAAGGGTGCCCGTCCTTTTGGAATACTTAGTTACAAAGAATCATTGGACGAGTTAAAACAGATGCATCTGGAATTCCCCAAAAGGCACCTACCTGTCTCTTGCAGAAAGACGAGTAATAGGGAACAATGTTCTAATTATACTACTTATCCAAATTCTTAGACTAAGTAGATCAACTAGCAACAATGAATTTGGATTTTCCCAAAAGGCACGCGTCCCTGTACCAGGAAAACTCATTTAATAAATCGAAGATAAAACACGTATTGTAATTAGACAGTAAGTCAGGATTTCCCCAGAAGGCACCCAACATAAACAAATGTTAGGATAATCATGAGAAGTAGAATAATTAGCACAAACTGAGTCTGGACTTCCCCACAAAACTCCCGGCCCATTGAAAATAAGTAGAACAATTAGACTTGTGAATGCTTAGACTAGTTAGGACAAACATGAACATTGAATTCCCCAAGGGGTACCCCTTGATTTGGGAAGCAAATAAGACAATGATAATAGTTTAAATCGAAGAATTAGGCTAGATTAATATAAATAGAATAAATATTGCAAATAGACAGTGAGCCTGGATGTTCAGAAGGCGCCCCCACCCCCCTTTGGAAATAAATGTTAGAACAATCGTGAGAAGTAGAATAATTAGCACAAACTGAATCTGGACTTCGTTCGCCACAAGGCTCCCGGCCCATTGAAAATAAGTAGAACAGTTAGACTTGTTAATGCTTAGACTAGTTAGAACAAACATGAATATTGAACTCCCCAAAAGGTACCCCTTCATTTGGGAAGCAAATAAGATAATGATAATAGTTTAAATCGAAGCATTAGGCTAGATTAAATTGAAGAATTATTGTAATTAGACAGTGAGCCTGGATGTTCAGAAGGCACCCGCCCCGTTGGAAATAAATGTCGGAAGAATCATGAGAAGTAGACTAATTAGCACAAACTCCCGGCCGATTGAAAATAAGTAGAAGAGTTGGAGTTGTGAACGCTTAGACTAGTTAGAACAAGCATGAATATTGAATTCTCCAAAAGGTACCCCTCCATTTGGGACGCACATAAGATAATGATAGTACTTATAAGAAGTAGAAGAATTAGAACAAGCTTAGATCTGGAATTGGCCAAACGGCTCCTGTTTCCTGGTGAAATTGAACCTGAAAATTCCCAAGCACGCGGGGAATAATGGGAATAATGGGAGGAATTAGAGACTTAGAAGACATGGATTTGGAATTCCCAACTGTCACCCTCTCTACTCACCAAAAGAAGGCTGCTCAGCTGGATTTTTTTAAAATGATTGGAACAGTGTGGGAAAATTATGGAATTCACTCAAAGGCCCCATCTCTTTTGATAAAAGTATCATACCTAGAGCAAACACGAGTCTGAAATTCTGTAAAAGGCACCCCCACTCCCTAGAGATTACAATTAGAAGAACTAGAAGAATTGTGTTAAATAAAGTAATTTGCAAGATGAATCTTGAATTCCTCAAAAGGCACCCGCCCCTTTGGGAATAATCAGAATAATTAGAGAGTTAGAAAAATTGGCACAAACACTAATCTGGAATTCGCCCAAAAGGCACCCGTCCCTTGGGCAATGGATAGAATATGAAACTACTCAGGATAGCTGGAGCAAACATTAGTCTGGAATTCCCAAACAGGCACCTGTCCAGTTGGGAACAAGTAGAATGTTTAGAACAGTTAGCAAAACATATATTATCTTATCGTCCTGGATATTCGGATCAATGGGAAAAGTAGTTAATTAGAAGTCAATGAATCGGGAATTCCGCCCAACAGGCCACCTGTCCCTTTCGGAATACATGAGTAGAACAATTTGAAACATGGATCTGGGGTTCCCCAAACAGCATCCTTCCCGTGAGGAATAAGTAGAACAGCTTGAACAATTACAGGAACTTGCAAATAAAGTGATGTTGATTTCCTGAGAAGGTACGCGCCCCTGTTTGAACAGTTAGAATAAGCCGAGTGGCTAGAAAAACAAAGGGCGTTATCTGGTCTGTGTTGTTTAATATTCTAATTCGGTAGACTCATTTTAATAACTGGAACAGATACACATGATTTACGCGTACAAATACGGCTACGCGTCTTCGTCTTATTCTATTTATTTCAACGAGTTGGAACCACTCCAAGACTTGAAATGATCTAAACACATCTGCCATTTCCCCAAGGGCCCCTCGGGAAAAAATAGAGTAACGAGAATGGTTCTGACACTTGCGTATTGCAAACATGAATCTTGAATTCCACAATATTTGGTGTAATTGGACAAATCAACCGTAGAATGATTAGAACAGACACTGAATCTGGATTTCCCCAATGGGTGCCCGTCCCTTTGGAATACTTAGAATGATAGTATAAAGAATCATTAGACGAATTAAATCAATTGCATCTGGAATTCCCCAAAAGGCACCTGTCCCTTTCAGAAACATGAGTAATAGGGAACTGTGTTCTAATTATACTACTTATCCAAGTTCTTAGCATAAGTAGATCAACTAGCAACAATGAATTGGTTAGTTTCTCAAAAGGCACGCGTCCCTTCGGGAATAACTAGCATAAACCGAATAATCAGAAGAGTATAGCCAGGAAATCCACGAAAGCACCCAACCCATTTTGAATAAATCGAAGAATTAGGCTAGTTAGAACATCATTGTAATTAGACAGTGAGTCTGGATTTCCCCAGAAAGCACCCGTCCCTTTGGGAACACATGTTAGGATAAAAATGAGAAGTAGAATGATTAGCTCAAAGTGAATCTGGACATTCCCAACAAGGCGCCCGGCCACTGAAAAACATAATGTTAGAATTGTGAGAATGCTTAGAATTATTAGAACAAGCATGAGTGTTGCATTTCCCGAAAGGAAGCCCTCACTTTGGAAATAAAATAAGATAAGATAGTAGGTTTAGAAGCAGAATAGTTGGAGCAAGCATGGATCTGAAATTCGCCAAAGGGCTCCAGTCCCTTGCGGGAACAAAACAATTAGAACAGCTGCACAAAAATGGAAATTGCGTTGAAGATCCAAAGCACGCCCGTCCATTCGGGAATATTTGGAAGAATTAGACACTTAGAAGAATTGGATTTGGCATTCCTCAACAGTCTCCCGCCCCTGTAAAAGTATATGGAGTGATTCGAATAATGAAAAACAACAAGGGGCGTGCGGGTCATGTGAGCCACGCGCGAGCGCGCGCCACATTATACATGGTCTACCCTTCCACCCACCCACCCCCCCTTGGGACGGGGAATCCGGAAAGATTGCCCAAAGGAAAAAACTGGAGTCCTGTGAGGTGCCATGTGGATGGGAGGGTAACATGGAACCCAAAAGAAAAGCTCCGATTCCCCCAAACAAAATTCCTCTACAAATTGGGGCTGGTTCCGTGTGAATCTGTAGAGGAGCATGTCTGGGTCCACAGTGAACAGTTCCAGGGGTTCTCAAAACAAGTATCTTGGTTGTTTCCCTTCATAAAAGGTCATGTTGAGGATGGCGCTTTAACTCAGCATGTTGCTGCTAAATGCTTGTTATCAACCACAACCAATCCTACAAGGAAGCAGCAACAGAGTGCTGGTTGATTTTCGTTATTGTACCGCCTTGATGGTGCTTTGCTACTAAATGCCCGGTGTTTGCAAATGCATAAATAAGCAAGTCAATGCATACACAAATTCATGCATAGATTAAAACATGAAATTGACACAACAGGCGATAAGTTTAATTTGTTTGCTGAGGCTCAAGTTTTGCTGAGAAAAGGGAACGATGATCCAGTAAATGTTTCGGCACAGCGCTTGCCGGAAGGACTGCGAAAGGAAGGGAGCCCTTGCAGTTGATGGTTTGCAGCCAAACTTAACCATCCAAAACGTATGAGGTTCATTCCCAAAACTTGGTGATTCTCTGCAGAAGCGGACTCCAAGCAAAAAAAGGATGGGTCGATATTGCATGCCAAAAAGGATGGGTCGATATTGCATGGCGTTTACCTGAGCTGCCTAAGCCGTTTCATCCCGGAGATCTTCCGGTGGAACTCCAAATCCTGTGGCCGTGCCTTTTGCGAGGGTCCGCCTTTTGGGCTGTGAAACCAAAGGCGAACCAAAGGCAGTTTGGAGGTTCCGCCGTCTTTTGTTAAAAGGGGAAACCAAAAGGAGCTGGCTTGGGTCAACCACACCATTTCAATGGGTGTTTTTTTTTTACCAATAACCGGATCTCCGTCCGGAGGTGGAGACGGATGAGGCGGGGCCAGCACCCAGCTAGCACGGTAGCACGTCTGAAGCCGGCAGTTGGGACGGTGTGTTCAACGTCTCCTCCTTTGATTGTTGGAAACATGGTCTTGGTTTTCACCTTTAAGGTGGCTGAGTCGGCTTTTTGATTTTAGCCCAAATGGGCCAAATGGCCTTCTCATGTCTTCAAGTTGTGGTTACTTGTCCAACTCCTCTCCGCTTATGGCCAGGTTTCGTCATCAAATGGTTCACCTTTCATTGCTGGGTCCCCAAGCTGAGGATGTGTTTGGCCCGTGACCAGTCGACATAGCCGCATTTCAGTGGGAGGCCAGTTGAAGGATACAAAATAGATGAGCAGGTCTTAAAATGGGTCTAAACGAAACCCGGAATTGGACAGCAGTGGTTCCATTTACCAGGGCAACCCGTTTTGGGTACCTATGTTTGACCCACGGCCAACCCCACGGCCAAAAACGGGAACAACACCGACAGGTGACAAATGTGAAACAATCAATATACAGGGCCTAACTCCCATCGCGGGGAAGCTCGCAGTTGAGTCATTTGGGCCAGTTTCTTTTTCGTTTTGTTTTCTAAGACAGATCCCAGCAACAAAGAATATGGGATCTTTTTCACTGAAGGTCAAGAAGATCCTAAGGTTTTTCCCGTGTCCAAGAAAGCCACAGGAAGATTCTGACGGGACCTTGGCCGACCCTTTCGGAAGCCACCCCGGTGAATCGAAACCCGTCAGGCGCCGGAGCGGCCTGGCGCCTGCGCACTCAATTCGCTCGTTCCATGTGCGATGCGTCGATGGCCAAACCAAGGGCCAAACGGGACGCCGAGCGAAACCCGCCCCACCGTCCCGCCCCGGCGAGAAGTTGGAGGGGGGAAAAAGCGGGGCGTGGGTTTCCTGTTTTGTGTCCTTGTCCTTTTTTCTCCCAGCATGGCTCGTTTTGTTTTGTTTTTCGTGCTTTTTGCAAGGTTGGTGAGTAAAAGGTTGGTCGCCCGTTTCCCTTTTCGACCCGTTTCCTTTTTTTTTTTCATCCGGGGGTTGACCGATGGCCCGGCGATAAAAAAGGTCCAGCCACGGTGAAACCGTGGGTTTTAAGTTGCGATGCCCGGGTTCCCACGGCTCACGGACCAGGTCCGAGGCTTGCGCCTTGCGGTTCGTTCTTTTTGTTTGGTTCCTTCCCTTAGACATCGGTAACGTGGGAAAGGTGCGGGGGGGGGGGGCAAACAACTTTTTGAGCCAACCAAAAAGGCGGGTTTGGTTGGAAACCAAGTGGAGAGCGCGGCTCCACATCTCGGAACTGACCAATCTGGACATTGGCTCCAAGACTTGAATGCTATTTGGGTGTGTCTTTTGTCGAGGGTACCATTTTGTGGGGGTTGTTTTTTGGGGGAAACCAAAAGGAACACCAGTTCTGTTGGTTGGCTCCCTGGAAAAAAGACACCCATTTGGTACCCCTAGGCCCTACGCATTCAGAGCAGGACATGGGCAGGTTTGGATGCGGGGAGCCACCAAACTAAAGGGCAAAGCCTTGGAACCCATCAAACCCCCCCCTTCCACATGAAGCCGCATGAAGCTGGGACAACTTCTCACCACTGGGGCTTTCTCTGGCACGACCGGAGGAACCGGTGAACCCCGATCCCCGAGTGAGGCGGTGAAGCCGGAGGATCCAGAGGTGCGCGCCGGGAGAATGCGCCGACTTTGAGTTCTCGCTGGGTTTCTGTGTTCTTTCTGAGTTGGGATCTGGTTTTTCCATCTTGGGTGAAAAGGATCTGCTTGAAGTTCTTCATTTTCGAGGGTCTCTTTTTCGTGGTCTCTTTTATTGGGGTCTGTTGTTTTTTGTTTCCCCTCCCCCTGGAGGGTCTTGTTCGTGGGTAGTTTTGAGGGTCTGCTTGTTTTGAGGGTCTTTGCTTGAGGGCGACGTGCAGGTGACGTGGGTGCCGGGAAAAACGCAAGTGACTTGTTGGATGGTGTGAACGCACTTCGGTTGCGTACATGTTTCGCAGGGACATGTCATGTCGCACTCATCTATCTTTTTGAACTCATTCCCTGACATCCTGGACTTTGAACGTGGACCAGTTTAGTGGCAAAAAGGTCAGACTTTTATGGCAACCGTCCGCTCAGGTTTGGTGAGCGAAGCTCTTGTGCTGGGTGCAGCCCTTGTGGATCTTGGTCTCCCCTCATGTTTTCACCCCCGCGGCATGGTTGCAAGAAAGACAAGGTCCCAAACCAGTCGTTGGACGTGCCCAAAATGGAGTTCGATCTAGAGTCAGGGGAGTGCAAGAGGTTCTCTCTGTTGCCCAGTGGTGCTCTTTTTTCCCCACTGCACTGTTATTTGGGGAAGGGTTCCGTTCCGAGTCCTTTCAACTCCAGCAACCAACGCAAAACGGGCGCCGAGCCGATTTTTTTTTCCTTGGACACCCGCCGGGCATCTGAGTTCTTCAAAGGATTCTGGTGCCACCCTCAAAACCCCAGAAGGCGACCCTCAGCAAAGAAAAACACACATCTAGGGGTTGATTCCTTTTCCATTCTTTTCAGCCATCGTTCTTCTCAAAAACCGGATCCGTTTTCCCTGGCAGGGTGTCCAGAGGTTTTCTAAAAAGAAGGATCCCTGGAAAGAATGGGGAAGGTACCGCTAGAGTTTTAGACGGAAACTCGAATGAAACCATGGGGTGCAAACCCATGAAAAAGATACACACCCATATGGGCATGGTTTTTTAAAGCTCCATTTGCTTAACTCCCCTGGAACAATAATAAAACATGTCGGGAAGAAAAAAAACGCGGCCTGCGGCCTGCGGCCTGGGGCGGCCAGGTGCCGTCGCCTCCAGATGAGCCCCTAGCCCCCCATGCTGAGCCTGAGGCGGGAGTGTGCGTCGCACGGACCCTGAAAAGTAGCGCCTTAAACTGGGCTGTTGCCCCAAAGATATGGGGTGAATGCCCTTCAAGAGGTGGCTTGAGGCTCGGGTATCCCTTGGGTGGCTTCAAATATGAAATCTTTGGGCGTCAGGGACCACCCCAAATCACACGGGTGGAAAATTGGCGAAGGGTGGCTTTTTCCTTTCCCTCCAAAGGATCCTCGTGGCTGGTTGCAGCACCTAGCACCGAGCGCGCACCGAGCGCCTGTTGAAAGGCAATTGGTTCACGAGCTCAAGCACTGAGTTCACCCATGTGAAGGCCCACACACAAGCACAAGCATCACACACAAACACAACCAAAAACCCACCCACCCACCCACCCACACACACGCACACAACCGGAAACACGCACACACACAGCCGGAAACGCAAACACAACCGCGCACGCAGACAAATACACACACACACACATACACACATACAATCACACACACACACAAACACAACCAGAAACCCACACACACAAAAACACACACACACACACTCACACAAACGCAAACAGAAACGAAAACATGCTCAAACACAAGCACACAAACACAAACAGACACACACACACA